TTATGAATGAATGGATCTAATATACAATATTTCTCCTAATTTAATAAATATTATAAAAATTAAAATATAAACTAATACTAAACAAATTAAATAAATAAAACAATAACAATAATTAAAATTACAATAGAATTTAAAATTGTTATATTATCAGCAAAATGTCTCGAGATATGATTCACATCTAAACGTAGCAAACTGCCTTCCATTTTATAACTACAAAAATTAATAAAAAGTTCGTATGATAAAATTTAATAAAATAATAATTTTTTGATTTATTATAATACAATAAAAATATTTTACCTTCTTAATAGAAAGATTAAGAAAGAGAGAATTTGAGATTTGAGTGTGGTTTGGATGTTGTGTTTGAGGAAGAGGTTATGAGGTATTTATAGGAAGAGAGGGTAGACAGGTTTCCCATAAATATGGGCGGCGGATGGTTGGGGTATTAAAGGAAAGGCGTAGATAATGATCCGCGCCTTACGTATGCGTGTCAAAAACCCTGAAAGGCACGGATGGCGATCCACGCCTGTGTTGACGTGGCGCCAGCTCGGATAAGGCGTAGATGGTGATCCGCGCCTTTCATAACGTGGCATCAGTTCGGATAGAACCCCGCAAAGGCGTGGATCGCTTGTCCGAAAAGGTGCTAGATCGATAATATTAGGAAAAAAATACCTGACATATAATTATTACTTGTACGGGTGATATTTTGATACAATCGCCTATAAATTCTACCATGTGAAAATGATTTTTAATAATTTCAGGCTTGATATGAATCTTATCAGACGAATATTAAAAATTTTATATATAATTTTTGAAAAGGAAAATTGGCAGCATTCTAGATCACTACAAATACGAGACTTTCTGGGAAGCTATAATCATCGATAATGTCACTTTAGAACGACTTCTTGATTTGAAAGAGGCCACGAACACAGCATCGTTCTAGAAATATAGTTAAATAAAATTTAGGGTTTGATTAATTTTCAAAATCAGAAAATCCAAAATGCCGTGTAATTGCAGTACTTCACTTATTAAAATCGTATATGTATGGTATATTTATTAAATTTAAGGGTAAAGTAGGCAAATGGTCTCCGACTATAAGATATTATTTTATTAAGTCCATTTACTATTAAAAATTATAAAATGATCATTTGATTATAGAGTGTTGCTATGTTGAGTCCCTCAACTATTAAAAGTTACAAAATGATCACTCGACTATTCGTTATGTTCCAAACTCGTCATTTTTTAAAAAAAAATGATGGTATTTTGAGCTGAATGTTAACCTATTAACTGTGATATGACAAAATCTGATCCCATAATCTCAAATGACTATCATATTCTAGTCATCATGTTAACATCCAGCTTAAAAAAATCAAATTTTTAACGAAAAATGATGAGTTTGAAACATAAAGAATAGTCAGGTGATCATTTTGTAACTTTGAATAGTCGAAGAACTTCACAAAGCAACATTCTATAGTCAGATGATCATTTTGTAACTTCTAATAGTCAAGGGACTTAATAAAGCATAACCCTATAGTCAAGGGAGCATTTATGTACTTTACCCTTAAATTTATTAAACAAATTTAATGATAAAAATGTTGATTTTTTTTGAGATTTTAAATTCGAACAGTTGTATTTACACTATGTGCATACATTGATAAATAAGAAAATTTTAAATAAATATTATCCTATAATTGTTATAAATTAAAAAATTAATTTTATTTATTATTATTGTAAAATAAAATGCTAAATTTTCAAATAATATTTACTATTCGAATTTTGATATTCACATATTCTCAGTCCGGCAAAGAAATTTCTAATAGATTATAGTACAAATTTATAATATTATATAAATTCTAACATGTTAATCGTTTATTCGCATTATATTCTATGAATCGTTTATAATGTTTATGTTATATTATATAATTATTACCCTCCATAATGTTGTCATTGCGATGACTATGCAAAGTGATTATTTGAATTTGGATGTATATAGAAAATTTATGAGGGTAAACTACATTTTTTGGTCACTTAACTTTGACCATAATAGTTGCTTTGTCCGCTCAAGTTTTAAAATTTACAATTTCATCCCTAAACTTTTAGATTTATCTCATTTCGATTGCTGGACCTTTAAGTGCATAACACCAACGCCGAAACATCGTGCTTTAAACCTTTTTATTTCTAAAATGTTCCTAAAATTTTGAACTTCTTCCTCATAGTCGGAATCCTTCCTTACTGTGTCAATGGTCATTTGGCATTATTGCATTTTGAACGCGATTTTTATCCCGCTTACTTTGTCTCATATGTGTCGATATTACCCTCAACTGAAAGATAAGTACCATTACTAAACCTATAATCTTATAAATTACAAAAAAAAAATAGATTAACTACCTGAAAATACACCCGAATATGTCTATCAAGCCATTTTTTTATCTTCTTACTCTTGCACAAAACAAGCTTTGGAACTATTTTGAATGCGGTTTTTAATATGCTTACAAATTACCCGTCCAGCTCAGTTGGTAGAGCATAATGCTCTTAACCTTGTGGTCGTGGGATTGAGTCCCACGGTGGGTAATTCATAATTTTGACTGCCGGAGGTCTTCCATGGAAGCTTCTCTCAATCTGGTATTGGGGGCAGTCTACTATCCTATCTCTCCCATATCCCATTACATATGAGAATAGGGTCAGCTAATTATTTATAATTTTTTTAACATGCTTACAATATGTCGTATGTGTCGATATCGGCCTCAATTGAAACATAAATTCCGATACTACGCCTCTAATCTTATAAATTACAAAAAAAAAATTAGATTAGCTACCCGAAAACACCCCTCTAACGTGCCTATAAACACTTGCGTTTTGGGTTGGAAATCCATAGAACTCGCGTTATATAGAACACGAATATGTTAAATTCCATATGTAATAAATTACTGAGACGTTTCAATATATCGTGGACCTCGCATTGCTGAAACTGTGAGGTCCTTGTATTGTTTAGGCGATACAATTGTGTTTAGGTAATGGTGGCGTTTGTTAATTGTTTGAGTAAACTACACTATATACCCCTGAACTTTGGCCGCTGTATTGTTTATTTCACTAGACTTTTCAATTTTATCAATTATAGCACTGAACTTTAATATATACTTCAAATGTACCATTGAACCGTTAAAATCCAAATGGTATGATGAAATGAACAAAACATCATTTTAGTACAATTATTGATGCCTAAAACAATATTGTTTTAGACAGATATCAGAGAATGAAAGATATTTGATTCACGCTAAGCGCTTCAACGTATGGAGTAAGCACGGTAGACAGAGTTCATGTCAAGCACTTCAATATTTTCTAGCGTGTGGAGTAGATAGGGTGCTTTAATTTCACGTTGAGCGCTACAACGGACATTTCAATATTTCATGGACCTCGTGATTCTCAAAATGCGAGACTTTTTCTAAAATAATAAATTATATTCTCTGAAAAATGTTTTTACGTTGGAAAAGTCTTGCACCATGTATAACGCGTGGCCTTGACATGTATAAACGGAGAATATGTTAATACATTATTTTTATCCTTCCCCTCTTTATCCCCTCTTTATTATTTTCTATTTGATTTTTCTCAAAATCAATAAAACTCAAATCACGAAAGATTTATCAGTCAAGTAATTAAAATAAATAAAATTCAAATATATAATGATAAAGTTGAAAATTTTTAAAGTTGAGTGACCAAATCGAAAATAGAAGTGATGACTTTGATTATGACATTATTGATGGATTACAATCTTTATCAATCAATTAATTAAAATTGAAATCTGACAATTTGTGAAGCCCTAACTAGTCAAATCCAGTTATCAATCAATTAATTAATATGACTAGCAAATATTGAAATATGACAATTTGTGAAGCTATAACTAGTCAAATCCAGTGCCCATATTCTTGCCGCTGTTGCTTGCTAGTTTTAACTAGCTATGGTGATCTCAAAAATTATTTTCTTTTGATAATTTAGTTTGTGTTTAGGGTAAATTATAGTATTAGTGCCCCAATTATTACTTTTGTTCTATTTGGTCGCTCTACTTTTTTTAAAATCATTCATAATGTTTAGTTTTATTTTAATAACTCATCGTAAAAAAATAATGATGATGCACTGATATTGATGTGTCATCATAAGATAATATCATGTTATTATTGAAATAAAAATAAAAAAGTATCACGTCTGCAGGTGAGTGAGTAGACTAAAATCAAAACGTATTGTCAAGTATGATTGAAAAAAATAGTCGGATGATTAAAACAGAAGAAAAGTGATAATTAGGGTATTAAACATGTAGTTTGCCCTTGTATTTATACATCAATCCTCAAATCATTTTATGAGATTTCCTTGTAAACAAATTGGGAAAATTTGAAACAAATTTCTATGGACTTCTTACCTAATACCCCACATGTATTAGCAACTAGTTGATTTTGCACTGCTTCTGGAAAAGCTTTCAAGACATTTCGTTTTCTGGGGTTCACTTGGATGATGAACAGCTCTGCCAATGATCTTGTACATAGTGTACCATAATCGGCCGTACAATTTGTTGGTAGGGTTGTGAGACTTTTTTTTTAGCTGTGATAGTCGAAATTCGATTCCCTGTGATTTCAAATACTGGGAAAAAAATAAGTGTCGAACGTCGTTGCAAAATCTAGCTGCAAATAAACGAACCGAAGAAGATGATGAACAACCATCTGAGAAAGATCCAGAGAGAGAGAGAGAGAGAGAGAGTCTTCTTCTTCGATCTTGCATCATGATTTATATATAAGCTCGGTGCCGCGTTGAACATAAGATAATAATGATTATATCTAGGTTTAGTTATCTGTTAATAGATTTAACTGGTAGAATAACAGCAAAAATAATGAACAAATATATGGTATCTCTTTATTATAATTTACCAAACATCTACATATAAATTAATGAACAACTATATACAAGAACTCCCTTGGTGAAGAAAAAAATTAGCAGGGAAAAACAAAATTATGTAATTAGAGGGGAAGAGTTTGGAATAAACAATCATTCTCCAGTGGAGTCAAGTTCAAATCCAAGCATAGAACCCTTCTGCTGTTAGATTTCTTCAGGATCGGTGTTATCACCGCCTCGTCATGTTGGTCCCGGTTTTCACTCGAACCAATCCTATGCCTCCTCATGTGTCCCCCCAACGCTTGCCCGATCGTGAACTCGAGCCCGCAGATCGAGCATCTGTGCGTCTTAGGTTTCGTCGGTCGCCGGTTCTCGGTCGAGTCATTATCTCCGCCGATCAGCTTCGGTTTCTTATGGCTGGCTCGGTGGCCTCCTAGAGCTTGGAACGAAGCGAACTGCCGGTTACATGTTTTGCACTCGAAAACCCTACTAGGGTGGTTGTTGTTGTTGTTGATGTTGAAGATGGCTCGTTGATCGTAATCGTTTCTTCCTTGTGAAAGGAGCATCAAACAATTTGCCAAAGCTAAATTGTTCTCTATTTCACTAGGGAAGCTCCTCTTCATACTTTTTGGGTGTGAAAATGCAAGGTTCTATGGGGTATTTGATTTCTTGTCAAGTGAAAACAAGGAAGAGCAATAGAATATATAAATTTATAGGATGGTTTGAGAGAGAAGTTGTCATTTAAAGTTGACCTTTTGAAATGACGTTTGTACTCGTTATTGAATGTTTTTGAGTGTGAAATCAATTCGATCTACTCGCGGTAAACGAGTTAAGTCGAGTTCGAATTCTACTGAGTTATGCTCAAAAATTCAACTCAAAATTCACGAGTCTAAAATTTTTAAATTCAGCTTGAGCATAATCATGGATGAGGCTCGAAAAAGTTTGAAATAAAAAAAAATAAACTTAACTCGGTTGAAGCTTAAACTTAAATCTAAACTTTAACTATATGAAAATCTCATATTGTATTTTTTTAAAAAATCATCACATAAATATTAATATTATTAATAATTTATTTTAAAAAAAATAAAATTTTCATAGTTATGTTTTTCGAGTTGCTCGTGAATTTTTCGAGTCGAATATTAAATAAATCAGTACGACTTGTTAAAAACTCGAATCAAACTTATTAAAATCGAGCATCTATCTAGCTTTGATTGAATTAAACTTACTAATTCACGATATTTCGGGTCTTGTTTTAGGTCTTTCTTGGGCTTAGAAAACTCTCTATGGTCATTCAAGGAGTCTAGAGGTTCGAAATGTAGAATCTTAGTTTGAAAACTCTCGTCTAATAGACTTTTAGGCTTCGAAAACTTATGAAATTGTTGTCTTAAACCCATTTTTTTATTTGTATGGCTTCATAGTCCTTATATCTGTTATGTTTTGTAATTTAGTCATTCAAATGATTATTTATGCATACAAACTTTCAAATTTGTCTTATAATGAGCGTGTTTTTTCTTTACTCTTTTTCCCATTTCACTCTATGTACTTAAATCTTTTCAATTTCCTCATTAAACTTAACACATTGGGTTATTTTGGTTATCCAGTCGTTAAATATTTAACGGCGTTAAAATAAATTATTATATATATGCAAAACGACGTTGTTTTGGTGAAAATATTTTTGTAAAACAACGTCGTTTTAACGTCGTTAACTATTTAGCTACGGAGTGACCAAAATATGGGATATAGAATAAAGTTTAGTGACAAAAAAAGATTCAATGTATTAAGTTCAATAAGCAAAATAGATGAGAGAGTAAGTTTAGTGATTAAATTTGTAATTTTATCTTTGATTAAATTTCACAAGAATCTTTTATTTAAGTGTCGTGTCAAACAATCTCCTCTGCTAGCGACGACGTCGTTTCTTACACGTCGGTATTCATCTAAACGATTTCTTACGGGTTAAACACTCGAAATGTATATACTCTTTAGCATGATACATAAAATTTTGTTTTGATGTAATTATGTACATGAAACTTTAATCTTTATTCAATTATACATAATTTTAAAAAATAAAAATATTTAATTATTTTTATATTAAATTAATATAATTATTTGTATTTATAATCTCCGATCATAAAATAATGTTATAGTAATAATAATGATAATAATTTATAAAAATTGAATCAAATTAATTTTCTTTATTAAATTGATGCGATTACAAGGGTATTATATGTTCAAAAGATTTTAAATCATTTAAAAATGAACGTTCAAACACCTCTGCAGACGTTGGTGCTCGAACCCGGAACATTTAAAGACAACTATCATCCCTTTAACCACTAAAATAACTTGTTTCGTGCAAATCAAATTAAAATTTTATACGTACAAATACAGAAAATTAAAATTAATGTATAATCTTATATATTCAATAAATGTTTATTAAATTTATTGCACAAAATCAAAATCCATGAATAATCCTACATATTTAACAAATGTTCATCCAATTTATAATTTTGTATTGGTGAATTTATAGTTTTGTATGATATGTATACTTTTATTTATATAAAATAATAATATCAAATATTTGATATGATTGTTTAATTTTTTTTGTCCTTTCGGTTCTAAGACTTTGCCTTAACTAATTCAAACTGATCCGCATCGTACATATGATTTTGGTGGGATAAACATCAGTGTTAAAATTAATAAAATTAAAACGTTGGTGACATAAGTGGAATTTGAAATAGTTAACCCTTAATATTTTTATTCTTAGAACGGAGTCATTTGTTGAGTGGGAGCGGATGCAGCCCTCAATTCTTTTGGTAGAATAATATCTTATGTCCTTATTAATTTAAATATTAGTTAAATAAGACATTTGTTCCTTCTGGTTTTAGAATTAAATACTTAACAGATTCTTATTCCTCTTAATTTTTAGGTCTTTGTGATTCGTATAAAATAATAATACATTATTCACAACCCATAAATTAAATAAATTAATTCTTTTAAGTCCCTTTTTTTAATTTTGCAATGATTATTTTTTTATTTTATTTGGATAATTAAAAAGTAATATTTGTTCATATTTTTTTAGTTATTGATAACACATATAAATCTTATACATTAGGGGTGAACAAAACTCGACTCGACGAATTTTTTTTTTCAATTTCGAGTTATTCGTGTCAAATCGAATTATCAATTCGATTTTCGATTTCGAGTCGAATTGAAATTCGGGAATTTTGAATTACTTGAAAAATATTGACTATGAATTTTGATAGTTTTATTATTTAGTCCCTGATTTCATTATTCATTCAATTCCTCCTCCATTTTAAGTATATTTTTAACCAAATTTGAACCATATGCTCCTAAACCATCGTAAAAACATATACTTTTGATTCCTCTTTTCGATAAAAAATTTTTTATTTTCCAATTTAGTCCTTCAATTTTTCATAATTTCCTTTTTTCTTCAATTCATCCTTTATTTTAAGTCTATTTTTTATCAAATTTGAACCACATGTCATATACCACTATAAAACACATATGTAACTTCAATTCTTTTTTTTTTTTTTTACAAAAAACACTCTCTCCTTTTTATTTGTATTTTACTCAATTTGGTCTTTTGATTGCAATTGTTTACAAATTTTTTCTTCCTATAAATTCCTTGACTCTTTTATACTTTCATCAATATTTTACCCTCAAAATAAAGAAAATTTATAATATTGTAAATATATTTTATAATTTTATATTGTATTTGATATATTAAATAACATTATAATGTGAAAATATATATATATAATGGTTAGAGAAAGTCGAAAAGTTGGAATTAATCCTTAACATAATACTATAAATAATTATAATACAATTAGCACATAAACTCGAAAAAACTCAACTCAAATTTCTTAAACTCGACTCTACTTGAAAAAAAATTAAGTTAAATTCGAGTAGTAAAATACGACTCATCAACTCAAATAACTCAAAATATTTTGACTCGACAGTTATTTGATATCAAAATCTTTAAAAAGAAATATCAATCTTTTTTTTTTCATTAAAGCCTCTTATAAATTATCCGTAACGAGTGTTAAGATTAGTGAGCGGTAGAAAATCCAAACAACAGATTTCAAGTGGCGCGCGAGAGGAAAATTTGCATGTTCAAGATTTTCTGGTCTCATTGAATGGAAAACAACATATAATTTATTCTTTAATTGAATTAATATTATAATTCAATGAGACCATATTAACCATGGCATCATGATTCATGGCATTCCACTAGTTTCTCATCAACCCCTTATTTCCATTGATTCCCAATCCTTGACCCTTCTTGATCCACAAGCAATCAATTGCATCAGCACTGCAGATGCTTTGATCCTCCCACTGGGACGATCATCTTCAACGCTTTGATCTCTAATATCCGCTGAGATGTTAAGGCCTTTCAGAATTTCCGAGTTAGAATTCGAAGACGGTCGAGAATCATGCAAATCATTCGGCTCCATTTCGTGTTCCTCAGCTATTTCAACCCCAAATCTTCCTTGTTTGACTCCATCTGTCTGAGTCGACACACTGTTGCCTTCGCTGATAAGTTCTCTGTTGGTTTTGGCCATAAAGATCCTGTGATCGTCTTCCTCAAGCTCCTTGAATTCACTCCATGAATGGTGTTTCCTTCTGGTTTGTGCAACATCATTGGAATCTTTGCTCGAACCGTATGTTTCCGAGGAACCTTTGGAGATCGAAAGCTTAGAGACGTTTCTAAAAGCAGTGAGCCTTTGAGGATGTATTCACGTCCATGACAAGGGTATATGAAGTCGTTTTACGATAAATCTTGCCACGCATATCCGTTCTTGTAGCTCCTGAAACGAAATCTTTAATCAGCTCGCTTGACATCGAATTCGAATATGATTATTTCAAGAAGAATGAAAAAGAATCTATAGTACCTTTTTGAAGACCAGGAAAACCTGTTGGCCATGCCATAACCTCGGAGGTTGTTCAGTTTATTTATAACATCTGCAAGGATACATCAGATTACAAGGAAATTATACAAATCAGTTTAAAGTACACTAAATTTCAAGAGAATCCCATTTTTGTTTACCTCTGAGAAAGTCTTTCTGGAGAAGAAAGAGGGACTTCCAGGAAATGAGGATGTTCGAGTCGGCCATTGCGAGACAAGTAGTAAGCCTCGGGAACTCTGTTCGTTGTTCGATTTTCTTTCGACCCAAACGATGTTTCTCTTGGGACTAGTCTCTTGATATCTCTTCTCCATTGCCAACTCTGATTTCCCTCTTGTGTTGGCTGCCATTGCTGTTTTACACAAAGCTCAAATGAAAGTTAAATATTTAGGCATTCATAAGTTTTTGAATTTTGAAGCCTGCAGGTTTCGAAAATCGATTCAGGGCAGGTGAAGTTAGGCGAATAGGATTCATTGAATCGAAGGAAACAGCTGAGAGGAAAAGTGGAATCCTGCATAAGAGCCTGGAAAACTAACAAGGACAAGTACTAGCAAACAGAGAGATAAGAGAACTTCTCACTTAAAATATCGAATCCGAAAATAGTTCATGCTGTTGTTTTCAAAAGATGTCATTCAATAAATCAAGTTGCATGGATTAAAATAAAGAGGCAATCTTTGACAAAATCATGAATGATTAAGATATGTAAGGAATCATTACTAGGAAATGGATAAACTTGTTTTTGAGTTTAAACCAACATCATGGGACAATTTCTTCAGTTGTGGGGCCAAAATCCCAGCATGTTCTTGCATAGTTTGTGAACTACCAGAAAGCTCACGGACCAAAGTGAAATGAGGACAAAGTTTCCATTTTCAACCAAAAAAAAAGTCAAAGTCAGTCCCGTGAAACCATGACGCTTAAAATGTGGAAACAATTTGACAGCCTTCGGGGCGAAACTTCAACGGTTGAAGCTCACATGTAGCAATAAATAACTATCAATTTTCCTCAAATCTTTGCCAATTTGTAAGTGCAACAGGAGTCACGTGTAAACAGTCGCAGCAATTGAGGTGATAGGTGAAAAATCTTCCATTAAGGGATCAATTTTTGTTTGCATTTGTTATTTCTGCAGATTTCTTGTTTGGGCATGTAGAAGAAAGATGACCCTTTTGTCCGCACTCGTAACACGTCCTTCTCCTCAACTTACCACTGCTAACACTCAAAACCGCGTTCTCAACTTCGTTAACTGGGGGTGGTTCATTAGTCGTAGGTGCTTCGACACTCAGAGTTGTTTCATTACTGGTAGGCGCTTCGGTACCCACAGGTCCTTTTGGGCAAGCAGAAGAAATATGGCCCTTTTGTCCACACACGTAGCACGTCCGTCTCCTCAACTTACCACTGCTAACACTCAAGCCAACATTATCAACTTCATTAACTGTAAGTGCTTCGACTCTCAGAGGTGCTTCATTACCAGTAGGTGCTTCGACGCTCAGAGGTACTTCCTTACCAGTAGGTGCTTCGACACCTGCAGGTCCTTTAGTGCAAGCAGAAGAAATATGACCCTTCTCTCCGCACTGATAACACGTCCTTCTCCTCAGCTTACCACTGCTAACGCTCAAACCTCCGTTATCAACTTCACTAACTTGAGGGGCTTCAACACTCACACCCACAGGTTCTCTGACACTCATAGATACTTCTTTACTTGAAGCTCTTTCATCGCTTCTACAGACTTCATTTCTCGTTTGATGAGATCCTGATTGAGTTTGCACTGCTTTCTTAGGAACAGCACAACTTATCTTCACAGGTCTACCACACACAATTTCTTGGTCCAACTTAAGTGCCATGGCTACTGATACACTATCAGAGAAATCCACATGAGCATAGCCTCGGAATTCCCCTGTTTCCTTGTTCATGCCAAAGCGAATAGATGATACATTGCCATCAGAGAAAAACTTCTTCAAATCATCCTCGGTTATATCCCAAGATAGATTTCCAAGATATATTCTGTTGTATCCCTCCACCATCTTAGGGGCAAAACCAGTCGCTTTATTGACTCGAGTGGATTTGTAGGGCTGAATCGTCAACTGCATTCCACCCCTGAGGAAACCCAGAAAATTATAAACACAGTTTAACAACGGCAAATAATGATATGGTCAACCGAAGATCGTAACATTTACTCACATTTCAGCTCTATCAAGAGCCAAGGCTTCTTTTGCTGCCGCTTCTGTCTGTATGAAGTGAAAATAAAAATGTGAGCAAACTCGATCCGTAGTCAAGCAACTACAAGAAGACTTTTACTTATTTCAAACACACACACACACACACACATATACAACAACAACAACAAAACCCTATTCCCATATACAATGGCTATATTTGTTCTTTGAAAATGGAATTTTTATTTTTTTTTATACATATACATAAAAATTCCATTTTCAAAGAACAAATATAGCCAACTCTAATGTAAAGAATAGTGTTAGAATACTTCAGCTTCTGCTCCTTCCGACTTTCGTAAAACTAGCTTATCATAACAATAGCGATAAACTACAAGAAGACTTTACTTATTTCAAGCATATATATATATATGTGCATGAAATATCCATTTTCAAAGAACAAATAGAGCCAACTCCGATGCAAAGAATAGTGTTAGAATACTTCAGCTTCTGCTCCTTCCAACTTTAGTAATAACTAGCTTATCATAGCAATAACGATTAAACACCGGATGATACTAATATGAATAAACTGATCCACCTCGAATTAGTAAAGCATTTATAAGTGTGTACAAGCAAGCATCATGGATAATTACCTCGAAACTAACAATTGCAATTCCTCTGAACTTCCCAGTGTCGGGAAACTTCATACAATCAATATCAGTTATGGTGCCACAACTTTCAAAATAATATCGAATATCATCCTCGGAATAGCGATATGGAATCCCTCCAACGTATACTTTTGTGAGATAAACTACAAGAAGACTTTACTTGTTTCAAGCATATATATATATATATATATATGCATGAAATATCCATTTTCAAAGAACAAATAGAGCCAACTCCGATGCAAAGAATAGTGTTAGAATACTTCAGCTTCTGCTCCTTCCAACTTTAGTAATAACTAGCTTATCATAGCAATAACGATTAACACACCGGATGATACTAATATGAATAAACTGATCCACCTCGAATTAGTAAAGCATTTATAAGTGTGTACAAGCAAGCATCATGGATAATTACCTCGAAACTAACAATTGCAATTCCTCTGAACTTCCCAGTGTCGGGAAACTTCATACAATCAATATCAGTTATGGTGCCACAACTTTCAAAATAATATCGATATCATCCTCGGAATAGCGATATGGAATCCCTCCAACGTATACTTTTGTGGCAACATCCTCCCTCACCTGGCTGCATAAAAAAGGGCAAAGCGTGGCAATTAGAAACTCCGAAACAATAACCCCATTTATATGCAAAAGGAGATAAAATAAATTATTATCAATCAACAAACAACTAAATTCCAGAAAAGCAAAAAAAGGAAACAAAAGGGTTTTCGTCCCCAAAGGTCCTTCCTCCCATCTCCATTTTTCGAGCTTTCTAGTTGACTATAAAAATGCCAATATCTTTACAAAAACCAAACCATAACAAAAGGAAGTACAAAAACAGTTCTGATAGCAAGCTGAGACAATCAAATAGCAACTAAATGATATACATAATTGGCTTAGATAAGCAAAATTTAGCTTAAGAAACTTATACAAATTGAAACACCAATTACCAAAAGCACAATCAAATTCAAACCTTTTCCTTTTCTTGTTGGCATAAAGTGTTATATTAACATTGAAAATCAATTAAAAAAAACACCTTTCGGCTCCATTCTCAACCTGCATAACCCTATGCTCTTCCCTCGTATCCTTGCTTCCTTTTCTTCTTATTCTTATTCTTAGTCTTAGTCTTCTTCCTCTTAGTACTATTATTATTGTTATCACTTTCTTATTCTCCGACGTCGTTTTACCCTCCTTTTCCTTTCTTCCTCTTCATTGTCTTCTTCTTTCACCCTCCTCGCTGGTTCTTTGTTCTTCGTCTTCTTCAATCTCCATTCCATTTTCTTCAGGTTCCTGGTTCAACCTTTTGGAAAAGACACGTTTTCTTCTTCTTTCTCGCTTTGACAATCTGGGTTTCAGAGTTACTGAGTCCAGGAGCGATTTCAGGACTGGGGCTCTGATTCTGAAATGGGTTTTCTCATCTGGTTCGGGTTCGGATACCCTTTTCGCCAATAGTTCTGCTCTGAGATTCTGTTTGAGCTTCTTGTTTGACAACACCATTTTCTCCCTTGTATCTCAGTTCTCACAGAACAGAATTCAAGATGGCTAAAACCCTAGACAATTTGTTCTTTTTTGAAGGAGACGGGGAGAGCTTCCATACGACATCGTTTAGGCGATGGTGGCGTTTGTTAATTGTTTGAGTAAACTACACTATATACCCCTTCACTTTGGAAGTTGTATTGTTTCTATCACTGTATTTTAATTTCTCAATTATAGCATTGAACTTTGATTTCTACTTCAAATGTATCACTGAGCCGTTAAAATCCAAATAGTATGATGACATGGACAAAACGACATCATTTTAGTACAGTTATTGATGCCTAAAACAATGTTGTTTTATATTGCATGTGTATCATAATAGCCATTAACAACGTGCAAACATATCTATAGATACAACTTGAATTCGAGATTTCAAGAGAGAACAACACTTTTAATCACCAAAGTCACTCAACGAGTGTATTCCTTCAAATTTTAAATAGAATTAAAAAATAATATTTTTTAGTTGCTCTCCAGTACCAAGGCTTCGCCCTGGTTAATCTGGATCGATCTGGGTCGTACACTTGACTTTGGTAGGTGAATCTTCCAGCGAGAATTTTCTACATACACAAAGACTCAAACCTGAAACTTTATTTAAGCTATATCACTTGAATCAACTCTGTTAATAAAAAAATACTCTAAAATAAAATTGAACTTATTGAAATTAATGAATTACCTGAAAAACCATACATCGAATTCTCTTGAAATAAAAGAAATCATATCAACAAAATTTATGCATCATTCATATGTGAAATATAAACTCCAAAATAATATGATTATCAGATAATTTTGAAGGATTTCGATGTCATTAATGGTTTTGAAGCATAAGCAAAGGTTTAGGCACATGTTCACATGGTTGATCCAAAGAGATTGGTTGATCAATTTGGCATAGATTTTAGGGTAAATTACACATTTAGTACTTAAATTATCAGTATAAACTTTCAACTTTTTCAAAATCATACCTAACGTTAGTTTTCATTTCATTTTTGTAACCCGCAGTTAAAAATTTAACGTATTTAGTACCTAAACTATCAGTTTTGGTCAATTTTAATACTTAAACTTTTGATTTTTTTTAAATGTTAAATTTTGAATAGTGGTACTAAAATAAAACAAAAACTAAATTTTATATATGATTTCAAAATTGAACGAATAAGTTTTAATATTATTAATAAGATAGTTTTAGATGATTCATTCTTTCTAAATTGAACGAACAAATCATGATCAGCAACTACTTAAGAAAACGAAAGAAAAATTGAAGAAAAAGATGAACAATAAGCGATGGATTCAAAATTCTCTCTTTCGATCTTACTTGTACGAATATGTCAGTGCTAAGATTGATAATCATCTACGAGTTGGTAAGTGAATAAATCCGACTGTCAGATAATACATTTAACTAGTGATGAGATTGACAGTGGTCACGTTGTAGTCAAATGAGATTAATTTGGGGAGTAAGGACTAATTTGAATAACATTGTAGTAAGGACTAATTTGAATAACATTTAATCTTTGTTGACATTTGGGACTATAATCTAAAATTATCAACCATATTTTTTTCTTCTAATGAGTATATACAAAATTAATATACCATTGAGACAAGAGGGACAAGCCTCAATCTAATGCTGCTATGCCCCCTTGAAAGAATGTCAATCTATATGTTTCAAACACCACCCAAATTCACAAACCCTGAATTCTAAAGCATGCCTTTAAACAGTGTTAACTACGGCCACCGCGACGCCTACCCATCGGAGTTGACGTTGTTGCTACCCTCGCTCATCCTCACATGCTCTTTGGTTCATCACTCGGATAATGTCGTTACGAGTTGTTCATCATCCCCCCATTCGTAAACAAGAGATTCGACAAAGAACACACATGCCGGTGGTAGTTCCGGCTCTTAAAATGAGTAATTACAGTCTATCACGAGCCGAATTAAATTAAACCAGTCGATGCTGATGCAAGCCTTTCCCGAAATGTGGTTGCATTAAACGAACGTACAAGCCATTTTTCGCAACCAAAGAATCATGTGTCCCTTCCTCCACAATACGACCGCTGTTAAGTACCACGATGTTGTCAACATGCCTCATCATCGCAGCTCGATGGGCTATCAAAATGGTAGTTTTGTTCCCCATTATCAGCGTATCGAGTGCCTCCTGCACCACTCGGCTCGACTCGGATTCAATGGATGAGCTAGCTTCATCCAATAATAAGATGGGAGCATTCTTTAGGACCACTCGGGCGATGGTGATTCTTTGTTTCTGTCCTGGGGTTAAATCCACACCCCTCATACCAAACATGCGTGTCGTAACCGTGCGGCAAGCTGCTGATAAAAATGGTGAGCGTTAGCTATTCTTGCGGCCTCTTTCATCTCGGCTTCGCTAGCATTGTGCCGTGCATATATAATGTTTTCCCTGATAGTAGTTGAGAAGATGATGGGTTCCTGCTGAACAAGACCTAAGTGATTCCTCAACCACCTCAAGTTGTATTGTTTTAAATCCCGCCCATCGAGTAGAATCTGACCTGCGACCGGATCATAAAATCTCTCGATGAGAGAGATTATCGTACTCTTCCCAGATCCTGAAACTCCAACGACAGCTAAAGTCTGTCCGCTATTAACTTTAAGACTAAAATTGCTTAATACCAACATTTCTGGACGAGTAGGATAGCAGAAATCAACATTTTTCAACTCGATGCTCCCATATACATTAGGTGGCTTCAATGCTGAGTTATCATCTGGCTCGATTTTAGGGACTCGGTCGATAATTTCAAACACTGAAGCGAGAGATTTTCGCCTCTTGAGAATGTACGGTGCCAATCCAAATGGCTCCACCAGTGCAAAAGTGGCAAAATAGAAAACTATGTACTCCTTGACAGCCGTAGGCAGATCGACGTAGCCTCTTTTAACACAGAGAGCGGTGTACCAAAGGTGAAGAGCATTGCAGGCGAAAAGAAGGAACTGAGAAAAGCCGAATGCAAAACCTATTGTCATTCCATGAAAGAAACTCTTTTTCAGTATTTTCTTCAGCCGCAATCTGTAGAGCTCCATTACCTTATTACCGGCACAGAATGCGACAACTGTGTAAATGTTTCTCACTGCATCCTCGAGGACCAACGATGCTTTCCGATGCATCTCTTGGATTCCCTTAGAAAATCCAGCAAGCCATAATTTCTGATACATTTTAGCACTCAACAAATCAGAAATTTGGATACGGACAATCTTACATCGGAGTTCAATAAGAAAGAAAACCGAAAGATAATAGAGGAGAAAAAGGGTGCACAAATATGCAAACCTGTGCAAAAGCAGAGACGGTTAAAACTGGCAGGGTTGCGAATGCCACAAGTGCCAACCGCCAATGTAGCAACAACCCAATTAGCAAAGCAACAATAACAGCAGTGCTATCCTGTACAAATATTGAAAGCCGGTGCTAAAGCAGCCCGTACAAATGTAGCATCATTTGCCAATCGCATGGACAAGGTGTCTGCATTATTCTCTTCTTCATCAAACCATCCAACTTCATTCCGCAGCATTGCTGTAAATGGTAGGCAAAACATGGTAAACAATATGCATTGAATTCATTATTCAAGTAAATTTGCAACATTGATATGAAGCGTTAGATACCTGAGAACATC